TGAACATCAATGGGTTCCACAAAATGGCAAAAAAAATGAGCAAACATTACCATATTATTGTACTTTGTGTACTGAAAAATTACCAATTTAGTCATTAATTTTTTTATTTTATATCTAATAAATCTAAATACAAATAAATAATAATATGATTATGTTTTTATTTATTTATTTTAGTATTCATGAAAAGTAAAGTATCGCCAATAAAAAGTATTTAATTATTTTAATAAAATGTAGAAATTTATGAGGATCCCAACATTTTCAAAAAAATAAATAAATAAATAACACGTGGATAAAGTAATTGGGGATCATGGTAGTGGACCTTTGCATCAACCAGACAGTAAAATTACGATATTGCCCAAATATAATATTGAAAGCCGTAGAAGGTAAAAATACTTATAAATCAATTTTTTAAATTTAATTACGAGACTTAAAAGATATATAATATTTTAATTGACGGAGTAATATCTGGATAATATCAATTTAAGCGTCAATTAATTCGTATTCTAATTATGATATTATGAAATCTATGCTTCTGAGAGTTATTAATTAGTACTATAAAATTCAACAATTATAGAATAAATAAATTTAACTTTTTTTTCGGCTCGATCAATTAAAGTGCCAGTAAGTTACGTTGGAAACGAATCGTTGTTATTCTAAAAATTTATAGTTTAATAAAATATAATAAAATACTAGACTTTTAGATAACATGTTAATATGAGCATAACTCAACTGATTAAGACATATATATTTTTTACCATATTTTTTACCTTCAAATTTATGTGGGAAAGTAAAAGGGTGGAATTATAAATTTTTTTAATAAGGGTTGAAATGGGGTCTCTATCATATTGAATATTTAAAAAAAAAATTAATATAAAATTAAAATGACTGATGAGCCGAAAATATTGGGTCACCATTTTGGGCCGGAATTCCAACAAGCTTTGGGGCCTAATTGACTTTCACGGCCCATTGGGCCAAGAAAAAGCCTAAAGCCCAAAAAGTAGATGAGAATTTAAGGTAAAAGTGGGGTCTACCATTCCTACTCCCTTCTGCTGACGTGTAACTTTTGGATATTTTGCTTACTGTGGAAGAATTCTTCGTTGCAATGCCGCGTAAAGGAAGTTTCAGAGGAGACCAGAGAAAAAGGATTTGGAAGCAGAATCCTTCTTCAAGCCGCCATTAAAGTCAGGCATTTCATCGACAGCCAAGACCATTGATCGGATCGTCTTTATTGAGATTTTGATATATTCGTTTCCACCGTTTCAGTTCAGATTTTCTTTGTTCGATCCGATCGGCCGCGATGAGTTTATTCTTTGGCAAGCGGAAAACTCCGGCAGGTATGCTCTCCGATCAGGAGCTTTGTTTTCTCTGCCGATGATTTTTCCGCTCTGCTTTCAATTTTTTAATTTTGTCCTTCTTTCTGGCGGAATTTTTTTGGTGTTGTTGCATTTAGTAGTGAGGTAATTAGTTTTGATTCCTGGAGTTTGGTTTAATTTAGTTGATCATGATGTCTACGGTGTTAGAGGTCTTCATTTCGCCTACTTTGGGAAGTTCGTTTTCCAATTTGTTAATTGCATGTAGATGCTGATTCAGTGTCAATATGGTTTTGATTCCTCTTTTTTCGTGTTTTGATTTCTAGACACTGGACCTAATTAATTTTGGCTTGTAGATAGTCTTTGAAGAGATGCTTTGTTAATTTTTAGTGATGAGAATTTGAGCTTCATTTTTCTCTGTGTACTGATTTGGCCATGATGAGTTGAAAGGTGTTTACACCGTTTCCTTGTGATCAATAAGCAAACTGCATTATTTATTATGTTTGATTTATAATTCTTCCCTGTTCGTTTTTCTTCCACTGATCTTTTAACTGCATCAAGCGTCCAGCATCACGGCTTTGATGCCAAAGCATTAAAAGTAATAAATCATTTTAGTGTCACTGTTTGAACTCTTAGAATTAGCAACAAATTACTATCATATATAAAGCTAGAGATATGAAGTTCATATCTCAATATTGTTAGGAGTTCTAAGAATTAATATAGAAACGCCGTAGTCTGATAGTTAAGGACTCTCTGTTTGGTGTTAATTTAACACAAGGAATGGTTAACATAGCATATGTTTGCTGCCATTAAACTATTCATTGTAGTAGCCAATCTTATAGCTTCTGATATTGTGTACATTATTGTAAATCCAGAACTCCTCCGGGAAAATAAGAGGATGCTGGACAAATCGATCAGAGAAATTGAAAGGGAGAGACAAGGTCTTCAAACACAAGAGAAGAAATTAATTGCAGAGATTAAGAAAAGTGCCAAACAAGGGCAAATGGTGTGTAATCTTTAATTGTTTCTATCTGTACACAATTTATTTTGGTGAAATACCATTCTTATTGTGATTCCTTACTTTTAATCATTGTGATTTTCTGAAGCTGGGACAGTTTGTCCATTGCGGTTGGAAGGAGAAGTCTTTTACGAATCATTAATATTTGGAAGTATTTATCTTAGATGTGCTTAAATGTGAGATCTCACATCGATTGGAAAGGGGAACAAAGCATTCAAAACCTATCCCTAGTGAACGCGTTTTAAAACCGTAAGGCTGACGGCGATATGTAACGGGCTGAAACGGACAATATCTGCTAGCGATGAGCTTGGGTTGTTACAAATGGTATCAGAGCCCGACACTAAGCAGTCTGCCAACTAGGACACTGGCCCCAAGGGGGCTGGATTGTGAGATCCCACATCGGTTGGAAAGGGGAACAAAACATTCCTTATAAGGGTGTGGAAACCTATTCTTAGTGGATGCGTTTTAAAACCGTGAGGCTAGGGCCAAAGCGGACAATATCTCTTAGCAGTGGATTTGGGCTGTTACATTATATCATCTTATTATTGTTGGATGCATTCAACACATTTTCTTCGCTTGTCTTCTCCTTATTCGACGACAAGTTTCCTTTGGTGATGCATATCATACATGGAAATGTTGAAGATCAAAGAAAGAAGAGGAAAACATAATAACGCGCGTCATATGCTTCACGATTGTTGTTTTTAGAATTACATCTCACTCGTGTATGATTATGTTACTATTGCAGGGAGCTGTTAAAGTGATGGCAAAAGATCTCGTTAGGACCAGGCACCAGATTGAAAAATTCTACAAGCTTAAATCACAACTTCAGGGCGTATCTCTTAGAATTCAGGTACAGTTTGTTTCATGACTTATTCATTCCATTGGCACAAGAGCATACCGATCATGCCGTTCGTATGTGCTGCAGTATTGACATCTCATATTTTGTAAAGCATTTTACATATTATGAGTGGTGACCTTTTTCTTGATAACTTAATATTTTTGTTTAACCCCCCCTTTTTAGACTTTGAAGTCGACTCAAGCAATGGGAGAAGCGATGAAAGGTGTGACAAAGGCAATGGGACAAATGAATCGGCAGATGAACTTGCCATCCCTGCAGAAGATTATGCAAGAATTTATGAAACAGAATGAAAAAATGGAACTGATGACTGAAGTGATGGAAGATGCAATCGATGACGCTTTGGAAGGGGATGAGGAAGAGGAAGAGACAGAAGAATTGGTCAGCCAAGTTCTTGATGAGATAGGAATTAACATGAACCAAGAGGTAACATATTATCTTTAGCAAACCTCATTTCTTTTGCTGGTGCTTTGGATCAACCTCACTCTAAATGAATAACTGATCTAACCATTTTTAAATTTAAACTGTTTCCCCCCAACAGCTCGTGAACGCACCATCGACCACTGTTGCTGCACCAGCGACGAAGACAAAGGTTGCACAAGCAGAAGCAACAGGCAACGATGATGGTGGAATAGACAACGATCTTCAAGCCCGACTCGACAATTTAAGGAGAATGTAAATGTAAGATCGTCATTTCTTTTGTTCCTTTCCAACCTGACCTTATTAGGGACCATTTATTCCACTGCCATATAATACTTAGTTAAATTTTATGCCATGATTTTAGTTTTTTTACGGTTACCATGAGATCCTATTGTACCATCTTCAGATATAGCTTACGAATGTCTTACATATCGTGTATATATATACATATATTGGTTTCTTTCTACAGGTTCATAACTTGGAAAATACTCTGTTAATTAGCCCGTGTTCGGTTTTAATTTAGTCCCTATAATTTTAGAGGTTTCAATGCGTCTCTATAGTTTATATTTAGATGTTTTTGGAAGATTTAACCCAATTATAGAACTAAACTGAAAGTTGAAAGTTAATTATGGACTTGGTTTGAACCTAAATAAGGCTTAAATAATTAATGGAAGTAATAATTAATGGAAGTAAGTGGTTGTCTTTAGTTGGAGAAGACATCATAGCTCAATGATTGATATCATAGCACTGATATAAGTTAGTTGAATTGTAGCAAAAGTGGGAGCAAGATTCGATCGTACTCATACTCTTATAAGTCTAAATTAAAGACAAAAATTTACGTGATTTGGAAAGTAGAAATTATCATACATCCACCACAGGTGGTAAACAATCACCTATGACAAAAAAAAAAAATGTTTACACAAGTGTATCTCTCACACTACAGAGTCTTTCTTACAAAGCAAACATAATATGACAACGACTTTACATCTCAAAACAACGTTAGACAAATCTTTACAGGCTTAACAATATTAATTCTCGTTAATCAAATATAAGAGAATGTACTAATATGGGAGATGAACCAAATGAATCCAATAGATTTATGAATCTAAATATAAAATGTACTCAAAATATTTATGAACCAAATCTTTGTGACAATTATCAACAACAATAATTATACACTTGCCGTGTACTCTTTATCAAGAAGTCTGAAATCGGTATTGGAAAAAATGGCTCTCTAGAGGACCTACCTAATGAATACACCCCCAACTAAAACTCCAATTCTTCTTTATCCTCATCCATTGGACACACAAACAACATCACAGATGAGAATCCGAACTTTCCAAATTCAACCACCCATTTCAAGATTATGAACATCTTTTCTTTCCCAAAGAAAGTTTCAAACCAAGCCACCGGATTCCGGCAACCCATGCCCTGAATTCCCCTGTTGCTCCGCCGCGGTTTGGCGTTTGCTCAACCCCGGCACCGCCACCGGAGCACGGCAGAGGGGGCAATCACAGTGAGAAAAAAGCCACATATCTATACAACGAGCATGAAACATATGCAGACATCTCGGCAATTTCTTAACCTCTTCCCCCTCCTCAAACGCCGACAAACAAACCACACATTCATTCCCATTCCCTTCTTCTTCCACCGCCGCCGCTGCAGACCCCTTCTTGAACTTAAAGCTGCACAACAGATTCCTATTCGAGCTCTGCAAGCTACGGCTTGAATTCACCATCTCCGCATAACTTCCAGCCAGCGCCGGCGAAGCTCGGCCACGACGGTTGTCGGAACACCACATGATAACGATGAAATTGTAAAGAACTAACACAATCGCCGCCGTTCCGATTACCACAAGGCCGTAATACAACATGGGTAGGCTTGATTTTGCTGGATGATTCGTTGGTTGAGAAAAATGATTTGAAGCAGAATCACTCATTTTTGGATCCGAATAAGAAGAAGAAGAAGAAGAAGAAATCACAGAGATTTGTTTTGTGGGTTTTTTTGGGAAGAACAAGAAGAACAAGAAGAAGAACAATCATGGCGGATTGAATTAATATTAAGAAGGTTTTTAATTCATTGAATGAGATAAACTGTAAGATTCCAAAGAATGAAGACAAAACAGAGTACAATCAGAGGACAGAGAAACAAAATTGTTGATAAGAAGGAAGGAAGAAACCCATATTTTTCTCTCCAATTATTTCTTTTTTTTTTAATAATTGAATTGATTTATTCTAACTTTTTTGGTCTCAAAACGACAAGGAGTAGGGGCTAGAGAAGGCTTGGGAAGCAGAGGAAGGTTGTCGTTTTAATGGCGGAAAAGAAAAACAGAGGCGTTAGGCTGAAAATTTCCATTTATTAAGTGGATATTTGGTTCAGTTTAATTTAATGGAATACGACATGTCGTATTTTGTGTCCACTCTAGTAGGAAGAATAAAGGTCAACGTGACGTGAACCCACGCTAAAATGACGTGTCGTTTGGTCGAAGACGACAGGACCAACCGGCTTTAGTTTAATTTGGTGGTATTATTAATTTATAATTGCGAAAGGTTGACAAAATTTGTCCTAATCTACTAACCGCTTTCCAAAAATAATCAAAAATAATTTTTTTTATTTAGTTTGAATTTTGTTTAAAAAATTCAAATACTTTATTTAAATATTTGATGTATAATAGAGAAGTATTCTGATGCACATGACACATAAATATACATAAAATTTTCATTGCTTTTAACTATAACCCGAAAAAAGAGGGTTGGGTTGAGTTAACAATCCAACAACCCGAACTTTTGAGTTGGATCAACAAAAGCCGTCGATCCAGACCATGTACACCCCTATAAGACAATCCTCCACTTAACTATAATATTTTAAGTCACATTTTTTTATGGAGTATAAGGGTATATTGGTAAATATATCAATAATCCCGGACCTTCTTTCTTTGTGAGTTCCGAGAATACACCATTTAACAAATATGACATCTACAATTGAAAGACCTAAATGGTCAAATCTAGAATCAGTTGTTATAATCAATAGGTCTAAAAATCAGACTTAGGATAATAAGCTCATGAACTTAGTTTTACTTCACTGTTGAGAAACGAATCAAGACTTCTATCTCCGAATTTAACTCATATGTAACTCGTTTCTTTTTAGGTGTGAAGCAGTGTCAAACCAAAATATCAGAGGTTTGGTTATCTGAAGTGGATTATAAGTGGATGACAGACATGCTGCCACATTAATTAAGACGGGAAGCAGTAAAAGCAACGGAAAGAATTACTTGGATACCAGTAAGCGTAACTTAACCCCGCGCTCCAAGGGACACTCGTTCCAGAAGTCCAATAGAGGGTTACGAGAAATAACAAAAGTATAGCTAGATTAATTTTTGGTACATACCTTCAATCCAATGTTCGCTTCTCATGAGGGCTGGGCCTGTGACAAACGGGTTTGGGCCAGATGGGCCCAAATCCTGAAGATTAGGTCCATATTTCATAAATGTCCAAATTGGCCTGAAATTTACTAAAAAGCCCATGACCCAATTACCTTTTTGCCCTCTTAAATGTATCATAATATTACATACAAAAAATATATATATATATTACAGTTTTTAAAATTATGGCCTTTACAATACCTTTATTGCTATAAATTTTATTTTATTTTATTTTCGAAAAGGAGAATATTTTTTTTTTGAAAAAATAAAATTATATGAATAAATTAATCCACGACATTATTATTAGGGCACACGTGTGTTTTTCTTTTACAGAAAATAAATGTTTTTTTTTTAATTGTTGTTTTGCCAGGTGGCAAATCCAGTGTCTATAGTCCAATGCCAGACCTTTTTTCATAAAGCTATAATAAAAAACATAATAAATAAATAAATAAAAAAAAGCGAAGTAGTTGTTTAGAATTTATTTTGTATTTTCAATAAAATTTTAAAAATAGTTATTGCGGTTATTTTAATTATGGTTGATTTTGGAAATATGTGTGCTTTTTTCCCATAAAATTATAATAATTATTTAATAAAAATTAACAAATTTACTAGATAAAAATTCAGAAATTAAACTTATAAATAAAATTATTAATTTTATTTTGAAACTTTTGACTTAATTTAAATATTTTAAATTAAGTTATATTCAAATAAATTACTTAGGTGGAGCGATTTTTAATTATAATTTTTGTTAAAATTATAGGGTCAAATCCGTAATTTAGTTTTAGCTTATTTAAAAAAATAATTAAACCCGCGAAACAAGAATGGAACAGTCCAGTGCTCAGCTCCTTGCATCTTCCATGTTCGTCTTTGTCAAGAACTTGCGGCGCCCTCTGTTCCCCGTTTTTCTCACCTGTTTCCAACCACTGCATCTTCTTCTTAGAGTCGTATTTGTTCTTGTTTCAGTTTCGTGTCTGAAAGCAATGGAAAGTGGCCACTCTTATTGACTTTCCTTGTGTTTTCTGAAGGTATTTTCGAGGCGCGACAAGCGGTGTGAAGTCAGAATCCTAGAGTTTTTTGTTGCCAGGTTTTGAATATTCCTCTTGCTTTTTATGTGGCATTCAGCCATGTTTATCTGTTTGATTTGAACTTTGGTACTGTTTCTGTTGCATTTAAGGTTTTGATTTTGCTGCAATTTTGTTATGGCATGAAGTTGAACCTAGAATGTTATGTTAGTAAGAGGTTAGTTTAGAGGTGTGAAAGAAGAAAATGGCGGATAAGAAAGGAACGGAACAAGTTGTTTTACGGATTTTGGATGGCGAAGAAGGAGTCGATGCAAGGAATGGTCTCACTAATGGCTCTGTTGCTTCTTTTCCTGATTTTGAGTCAAAAGAAACTCGGAGTGTTAGGTGCGCAATCCCGCAATCCGTGGTTGAGAGCTCTCCTTCACACGAGATTTCCAGAATGAGTTCATTGAAACCTCCAAAAATTCCTGTCGAATCGGCAGTTCGGCGCCCATCATTTGCTCGATCTTCGTTTTCAAAACCGAAATCAAGACTAATAGAGCCGCCTTGTCCTGATGGTGCAAGTTCGGCAGAAGAAAATGCTCAAGCAAAATCAACATCTGGTTCACCATTCTCTAGCTCTCCGAAGATGGACTCACCAGCTAAGATAGCCACTGCGACTAGTCCTAAAGAATCTTTGAAGTCTGCTCCGATAACTCCTAGAACACCATTGGTTGGATCTACTGGAAGTGAGGAGGAAGATGATGAAGAAGTCTACAAAACTGCAGAACTGAAAGTGAAAGAAAAATCAAGGAAGAAATTGAAAAGAGCAGTTTTAATTGAATGGATTGCATTTTTGTGCATAACAGCGTGTTTAATTTCCAGCTTAACAATAGACAAGCTGCTGACTAAAGAGATCTGGGGATTAGGACTGTGGAAATGGTGTGTTTTGGTATTAGTCATTTTCTGTGGCCGTTTATTTTCACAATGGTTTATCAATTGTCTGGTTTTCTTGATTGAAAGAAACTTTCTACTTAAGAGAAAGGTTCTTTATTTTGTCTATGGGCTGAGGAAGAGTGTTATAGTTTTTATTTGGCTGGCTTTGGTTCTTCTAGCGTGGGGTCTATTATTTGATCAAAGCATCAAAAGATCTAAGAAAGTCAATGAGATTCTGAATTATGTTACACGAGCTCTTGCTGCTTCGCTAATTGGAGCAGGATTATGGCTGGTGAAAACTTTGTTGGTGAAGATACTAGCTGCTTCTTTTCAATGCACTCGATTCTTCGATCGAATTCAAGAATCAATCTTCCATCAATATATCCTGCGCATTTTATCAGGACCGCCACTGATGGAGATGGCCGAGAGGGTTGGGAGGGTGGCAAGCGCAGGGCAATTGAGCTTCAGGCATTTGAAGAAAGAAAGAGATGGTGGGAATGAGGGGAAGGAAGAAGTGATTGATGTGGATAAACTCAAAAAGATGAAGCAAGCAAAAGTGTCTGCTTGGACCATGAGAGGGCTTATCAATGTTATAAGGAGTTCAGGGCTGTCCACCATCTCTAATACAATAGAAAATTTTAAGGAGGAAGAGGGTGAGCAAAAAGACAAGGAGATTAACAGTGAATGGGAAGCAAGTGCTGCAGCTTACCAGATTTTCAGGAACGTTGCGAAACCTGGTAGCAAGTGAGAATTTTATCTTCCGAACGATCTCGAATTTCCCTCTCCATGGTATTCAAAGAATTTTGTTAACTAATGCTTTTAATTCGTGCCTGGTTAGGTATATTGATGAAGAGGACCTCTTTCGTTTTATGAACAAGGAGGAAATTGATAATGTGCTGCCATTGTTTGAAGGAGGGGTTGAGACTGGGAAGATAAAGCGAAAAACCCTTAAGAATTGGCTGGTAAATCTTTAGCATTTATCTTTTTGTTCAGAATAACTGAGGTCCTGTATTCAAATGCACAATTCTACGCAAACCACTAACAAACCTGGTCCTTAGAAATGTATTTTTGATGTTGTAGGTGAACGTTTATATCGAACGGAAGTCGCTAGCCCACTCATTGAACGACACCAAAACTGCCATAGAGGAGCTAAACAGGCTTGCTTCTGCATTTGTACTGATTGTTATTATCATTGTATGGCTACTTCTGATGGGTTTCTTGACCACACAAGTACTCGTCTTCATTTCATCACAGCTTCTGCTGGTGGTTTTCATGTTTGGTAACACTGCCAAAACTATATTCGAAGCCATCATATTCGTATTCGTGATGCATCCATTTGACGTGGGGGATCGGTGTGTTGTAGATGGTGTGCAGGTAACTTTCTCAACTCAGAATTTCTTGGATTCCATTGAATCAATCTCACCTGGTTTAATACTAACTTGCAGATGATTGTTGAAGAAATGAACATTTTAACCACAATTTTCTTGAGATATGACAATGAGAAAATCTTCTATCCAAATTCTGTTCTGGCCACCAAACCCATCAGTAACTTCTACAGGAGCCCCGAAATGAGTGATTCGATCGACTTTTCGGTTGATTTTTCCACATCAATTGAAAGCATTGGAGCCCTAAAAGCAAGAATAAAATCGTAAGTTTCATTCAGTTTCTCTATGCTAGTTGGTAAACTGCAAGAAAGAACCAAGCCTTGTGATTGAAAGATCTTTTATAGAGAGCATCTGTCAAAACAACATTTCAAAGTACCCATTTGCTTGACATAAAAGAATTGTTTCTCAGATATCTTGAAAGCAAACCTCAGTTCTGGCGGCCGAACCACAGCGTGATCGTGAAGGAGATCGAGAACGTCAACAAGATGAAACTGAGTCTATACATCAATCACACCATAAACTTTCAGAACTATGGTGACCGGAGCAGTCGCAGATCGGATCTAGTCTTGGAGCTGAAGAAAATTTTCGAAGATCTGGGCATCAAGTATCATCTGCTACCTCAAGAAGTCCAGCTCAACTATGTGAGTTCAATAGCTCCCATGGTTTCGACAACCTCGAGATGAAGGTTCGTTCTTTCCGCTCAGTTCATTTTCTTAACTCTCAAACAAAGTGGCTGGCTATATCATGTCCTGTTGATTCAATGGCTTTCATGGGAACAAGAGGGGTAGAGAAGATGTAGTTTCTGATTTGAGCTGCATCTCAGTAAGGAAAAGGAATTGTAAAACGTTAGTTGTTCTATACAAGTTTTGAATTTTAATTATGGACATCAAGAGGATGGATTACTAAATGAATTGCACTTTCTTTCTTCATCTTCAACCCATTGGGGACTGTTGTGGTTGAAGCTGCAGAATGTTGATTCACATTACAGACAAATATCATTTTTCGTACTCCAAAAATTATAAAAAGAAGACAATTCAGGTTTTGAACTAAAACTTAAAAATAATAATTTAAATTACAGTGTATAATTTACATTTTTTAATTATCCTATTTCATATTTTTAAAATGTGCAAAGATTGAAACTAAATTTTAGGATGGTTTTAGAGTTTCAGAGATTTGGTAGGTACGAAGTTCAAATTTTAGAAACAAAATTGGTAATTTAATCTAAAATAAAACTAAAAAAAAAAAAAAAAGAGAAAAAAAAGTAATATCTAATCATCACTTTACAGAAAAAAAAAAAAAAAAAAAAAAAAGAGAAAAAAAAGTAATATCTAATCATCACTTTACAGAAAAAAAAAAAAAAAAAAAAAAAAGAGAAAAAAAAGTAATATCTAATCATCACTTTACAGAAAAAAAAAAAAAAAAAAAAAAAAGAGAAAAAAAAGTAATATCTAATCATCACTTTACAGAAAAAAAAAAAAAAAAAAAAAAAAGAGAAAAAAAAGTAATATCTAATCATCACTTTACAGAAAAAAAAAAAAAAAAAAAAAAAAGAGAAAAAAAAGTAATATCTAATCATCACTTTACAGAAAAAAAAAAAAAAAAAAAAAAAAGAGAAAAAAAAGTAATATCTAATCATCACTTTACAGAAAAAAAAAAAAAGAAAAAAAAAAAAGAGGAATAGGATAAGGATATCCACCAATAAGGCATAGCGAAGTTGCCACGTCGGATAGCGATGAAGATTTCGAGCTGTCCCAAAATCTCTCCAGTTTCTACTTCCGAAACCAAAATCCCCAATTCCGGAAATTCGCAGAGCTTTCGAATCATCAATGGCTTCCACTTCTAGAGTTTCACTGGCCCTGCCATTGACTACCGCCACCCACAAGAGACTATCCAACCACGCCTTCTTCAATCCATTGCCTGCTTCTCCTTCCTCAAGGTATCGCAAGGCCATCGCCGCCGCGCCGACATCCAACGGGAGGCTCGTCGCAGTCCGATCGTCCTTAAAGGAGAAGGCCATCACTGGAGTTAGCGCCGCCGCTCTGACGGCCTCGATGGTGATTCCGGAGGTTGCAGAGGCTGCAGGACCTGGAGTCTCCCCGTCGTTGAAGAACTTCTTGCTCAGCATTGCTGCCGGTGGAACTGTGGTGGTGGCAATATTGGGTGCTGTGATAGGCGTCTCCAACTTCGATCCGGTAAAGCGTGGTTGAGTTGTAATTTTTTGTTTCCGCCTTCTTCTTCATCCATCATTTTTTGCTGCAAGCTGCTGAAAGTAATAAATGTATGGATTTAAACATTTCTTCTTTCACCTATAATTTTCTTCATTTCCTACTTCTCCTCTCTCTCACCTGTTTAATAGTCCATTCATCCATGGCGCTTTCATCATACATACATAATATATATTTATATACACACACACACATTAAACGGGACAACTAAATTTAACTTCGGATAAAAGTAAAGATGAGAAGAACTCAAGTTTGGAAGACAAGCAACTAAAATAACATTAAATTTAAATCAGAAAGCTCCTAGGAAAGAACGCGATGTTTTGAAGGAAAAGGGATACAAACATTTACAAATACCATCAATCAAAAATTTGAATTATAGCACGTAGAGATTTGAATTATAGCACGTAGAGAGACGAAGAATCTAACCCACTTCCTATGGACCCACATTAGTTGGGGAGTAGAACAAGCCCCATTTAATCTATTAATGTGTCAAAACCTTCCCCTAATAAAGTTCTAAAGCCTTGAGGGAAAACTTGAAAAAGAAAGCAAAGAAGACAATATCTGCTAGCGATGAATCTAGGTCGTTTCATCCTAAATTATATTCAAACAAAAACAAAACAATTTTCTTTGAATAAATGAAACTTGATTTTAGTACATCCAGAGAAAATTGAAATAATTAACTAAGTTCCATCAATTCAGTTTATGAGTTTGATATCAACTTCAAAGAAACCAATATCTACAACATTGTAAGAACATCAACAGTGCAGACAGAGGCATTTGAAGAAATGTGTTTGTGACAACATCTACAAGAAAGAAGAAAGTGATTTCCAACCTTCCAAACTGTAGAGGATGCACAGTTCATGTTGTCATCTTCCGACACAAAATTGGTTTTAGAAATAACCAATTTGCTTTATGGATGACTGAAATATATTACCTATTCGATAATGACATCGCTCATTTGAAAGAAAAAAAAAAGTCTAAGGAGCCATAATCAAAGTCTCGGAAAGGATTTTCAGTTCAAGGACAGAGGCATTAGAAGTGTGTTTGTGCAACCTCTACTTGAAAAATGGAAGGTATTTCCAGTCTTTCAAAATGAATAGAGGATGCACAATTCATGTTGTCATCTTCCGACACAAATTTGGCATAGAAGTATCCTATTTGCTTTATAGATGACAAAAGTAGATTGCCTCATGATTGATTACATGGAACATTAAATAGTCAGGATTAAGAAATTGTGGGATTCCAAACCGTGGACATGTATCCCCCATGTGTTACGCAGTGAAAAGAAAATAGTTTCACAAAGGATAATAGTACGGAGGAACTCCATTTCGTCATCCTCAGACACAGAGTTGATATAATATAACCAACCTGCTGTAAAGATGACAATATTGGACCAAAAATAGTATCAAACAAACCTCTCCCTCGTAATGGATTGCGAGCAGTGAAGAAAAATAGTTCACAGAATATTCAGTGCACAAAAACGATACATATGTGTAAGACGTCAAGGCAATGGATTGCGAGCAGTGATCAACCATAGCATATATTAACTAATTTGGTAGATTTAACTAATCAACTTCAATGAGATTAAGAAGTCTTTATGATTACTTGCAGCAGCAATTCGAATGGAAAACTGTGTAAAATAAAATCTCAATGCATAGTAAAAAATAGCTACCTCTTCACAGTGATAATAACATGAACGTATGCAAAAAGATCACGCAAGAGACACTAAACCTCTCCCTCGTAATCCAATTCCTAAACATTATAATATACGATCCTGACTGTTCTTTATCCTTCTAAAACAGAGCAAAGAAATCGAAATAGCCTTGGGACGTTGGGGAAGAAACATCGCATGTAAAACAACGCTCTCGTCTTCACAAACATTATACGAAGTTAATTTGGTTCACACGATAACATCCAAACTCTGTAGAAACTCTAAAAATCATCGTGGTAACTCAAAACAATAAATTAAGAAACAACAATTCATCTATGAATAAAGATTGATAAAGTTAAGAGAGCGAGAGAGCAGAACAGTGAACGAGAACTGAGTGTCGCTTTGATCTTCCTCGCGTCGCCGTAGTTTCGCGACATTAGAGCAAGGGATGGGGATTAGAAAAATTATTGCAGAAATGAGAAGATGGCCGCCATTGTCAAGATGGAGAAGGAGGGTTTTGGAATTACAGAAACCCTAAGATTTCGGTGGAGGATTATGGCGCAAATTGGGATTTTATAGGAATAAGGGAAAAACGTCTGAGGGGCGTTTTAGGGTTTTCATCTTATTTTATTAGAAAAATACCCCAATTCAAATCTAATTATAAATCCTTTTGGCGCTCTTTAATGTTCTGAAGTTCTATTTAACTTTGGCGCCAAAAAAAACGACAAATCAACAAAAAAAAAACGTAATCTTAAACGGGTGAAGAAAGTAACAGAATACATTGACTTAACTGTATCGAGACACGTGAAAACAAAAAAGCAAAATAAACTATAGAATAACAGCTATAAAATTTTGACAATGAAGTACAGTAGAGTTAAATGGTTGCTCGTAAACCTAGTTCAGTTGGAGCTAACTTCGAATGGTTTAATTCTATTTATTATTAATTAATTAATATGATATTGGATCCATAATAGGTCATTTTTTATTTTAAAAAATTAAATTTGAAAGGCACGTGGGTGGATTATTATTGTTTGATTAAAATATTCCAACAGCCATAGGCATAGTAGAACTCAAATAATTCAAACAAATACCCCTTTTCAATCTCTTTCCCAACCACTTTCCTCCGAATATTTTTGTAACCTTTCTTTACCATTCTATTTTAGAAGGAAACATCAATGCCAATAAATGTTCAATTAGGGGAACTATGTAAGCACAATTCTAATTGTTCGGTTCGGTTCGATTTTAACCTATCTCTTAAGTTTGATTATTGGGTTCATCCCTAATTTTCCAACAGATAAATAGATAAGACACTAATTACTATCTCAAACGTCGAATATTCGATCGGATGAGAACGATTCTTGAGAAGTTCAATTCAGAGTCGTTTTTTTAGTAGACACATTTAAATCCATGAGGCTAACAACGATATCTAACGAGTCAAAGCAGACAATATCTACTATACCGTTTGTTACAACTTGTACAAATCTAAACTTATTGACATTGGTCAATTCGAGTATAACTCAATAGATAAGACACTAATTACTATCTCAAAAGTCAATAATTCAGTCATCAACGATTCTAGTTCAAAACATTGAAAAGCATCCAATTCTTCGACCAAAGTAAAAAAAAAAGGTATAGTTAGATCTCTCAACTACACAACAAACATCATGAGAACAATTTATACTCTTTGAAACAATAAAATCAAGTTTGTATGAAAAGGGTCCACCAGAAAAAGGAAGAAAAAGACCAATGAAAAAGATAAAGAAGGAAATGAGAGGGTTGAGGAATCAAATCATTATCAAGGAAGTTTTGTAAGCTAAGAGAGAAAAAGAGAGTGGCTGAGGAATTTGAGCTCATTCCTAACCCACAAAACAGGCCCCTTCTTAAGGCACTTTGTCTTCTAGTTCAGAATGGCTTTGGATGTTTTCACATCTCTCTTGTCTCTTTAAATCTCAGTGTTTTGTTTGAAGTCCCCAAAGAATACTATAATTTGCAAAGCAAACCCCAAAAACAAGAGTCAAGAAAGCAAATGATCCTCTTCATTGTGATGAAGAACCAAACAGAAAGCCTCTGTAATAAAGCTCAATCATGGACAGTAAAGATCATTTACAGTAAACTTTCTGAAGAGAAAAGCAACAGAAGAGATATGAGTTCATAGCTTTCATAGAAGAAGACCCAAAACAGTAACCTATGAGAGTTCATAGCTTTCATGGAAGGGAAATTTGAAGCAGAAAGGTAAAAGGAAGATCAGATTATGGCCCAAATGATCCTTATTTCTTGTTTCATGTTAAAGGTTCAGTGAAAAACTAAAACAGGAAATAGGATTCTTTCAGGAACAAGGCATCGAATCAGATGAGAATTTGATGCTTAATTTCGTCAAGAAGATTCATAGTTAGGGCAGAATAGAAATTGAATACAGAATCAGGACAATTATTTTCTCTAAGCAACCCAGAAGAGTGATGATCAAGAACTAAGTAAAGCTAGATAGTTAAATCATACAAGAAAGTTACAGAGAATCTATGGATATACTAGCCTTCTTTTTTTTTTTTCTTGTTTTCCTTTGTTTTTTTGACAGAGACGAGAAAAGCCTTTTCTCCTCTCCCACACGCCAAAGAATGGAGAAGATGAATTTTGTGGGTTAGGCAGCCCTGTTTCTCTTTTGGCCTGCTTTTCCATCTGATTTCAAAGCTCCACTGGAATCACCTTCTGAAGAAACTTCCATGGATCTAGTGAAGGAACATGAAAGATCAGCATATAAGTCCACAACCCTCCTGATATTGTTGTTTAATTCTCGGATCAGACCCACATTTCTGTTAAGATTATCAGGGATCTTTGATTCATGATTCTGGTTTATCTCGCTGATGAGCAGCTTGTTTTGATCCAAGATGTTTTGAACTTGAACAAAATTCTTCTGAAATGTCTGTAAAATCTTGGTATCAATCTGTGCACTACTGCCAAGCCCTGAAAATGTGTCGCCCTCCATGCTTTTACAGATCAGGATTCTAGCAAATCAGAACCTTCTCTGCATCAGAACATGGAAGAACAATGGGAAGAAGAAGAAGAAGAAGAAAACCATGAGGAAAAGAAAACGACTGTTCTTGGTAATTCATAAATTTCTGCCTAACTGAGAACCCATAAATGTGAAGAAACATTTGGTAATTTTTTCTTTCTTTTTTGCTGTTAATTTAAGCACATGAGACAAGAACTGTAGAAAGGAATCATGACCTCCACGTTCCAGTTTTGAAACAGAAGAATCAGATAACAAAGAAGGAGGTTTTTAAGTATAATTTTTTTAATTGATGTATGATGAGATGGGGAAAAAGCAGAAGCATTTCCATAAAAGGGAACCTTTTTTAATGTGCTCAGAGGACACCCACCTAAGGCTCAGAGTTCCAAACAGGTATCCCAAAGACCCAAAAAAACCAGTCAATGATGCAGAAATATGAGCCCATGAGGGCACCTCAATAGAGACAGCATTATTAATCCTCTCGAATGCATACTC